TAACAATGGTTTTGTCTGTTTCACAATAACGCAAAAGAAAGTCGATAATTAGGACTGAGCAATGGGTTAGGGCACCGATCTTACAGTAATCACATAAACGATCCAACTCGACCGATAGCTAATTAATGCTCTCCCGCCAAAAAATTGTCTACTTTTTCATAAGTAAGATGGCGCCTCGACCCCGCTCGACCCCGTTCGAGGCGAAGTCAAATTCAATTGTAATAAATCAAATTAAAAATTTTAAGTGTGACAAATCAATTTAATTTAATTTAATTTAGGTATTTTAAAAAGTGAACATAAAAGTGAAATGCAAGTACCTAACCATCAACTCCCGGCTTCCTCCGACATATTATAATATGTTAATTTTTTTCTTTCCGAAACGCTGTTTTCCCAGCCGTACCGTGTACGTGATCTAGAGAATTGTATTGGTCAAATAGTACCCTTTTTATGTTTAATAATTTTGTATACTTAGGGTATCTTGTTCTAAATTATATAGCTATTGAATAATAATCTACACAATACTTGATATTGTGAATAGAGATATTATTTTATTTACTTTTGTACGTCGTTTATCGAGTTTTTGTGTTTTCCCAGGTTACATTTTTAAGAACAAAATATTATTCATTATTTCGTTAGTGACTTTTAACTTATGATTCGAAATTCTAAGGCGCATTGAGCAAGCATGGTGAATAATGCTCAAACCTTCTCCGTGTGAGAAGAGGCGTTTGTTCAGTAGTGGCCACTTATAGGCTGTTGACAATGATGAATAACACATACCTAATATTACATTTTTATCTTAATAACACGAGAGAAACCTTCTGTCAGTGATTAGTGTCGAGTACTGTCAAAGTCATTATTGAATTCCAATAATTTTATGATCTTCAGACAGAAGATACTCAATTAGATAATTGTCGATAGCACTCGGCTCGTTTACTCGATTTTGCTTAGAAACAGTACGTTTTCACATTATTAATCAGTGGTAATTGATAGTCTTAGACCCGTTAAGGAGTAATGAAGGGCGCTGCTGACGATTAAAATTATAGTTTTAGGTTAGATTGTTAGAAAGCCATAGCTCTTTCTTAATGATTGACCTTTCAACTTCTTTTTTATGGATTAAGCCGGTAAACGAGCAGACGAATCACCTGATGGTAAGCAATCGGTGCCACCCATGGACACCTGAAACACCAGAGGTGTTACTAGTGCGTTACCGGCCTTTTGGGAATTATTATATATTATACATCACCGATGGGGTAGGCAAAGGTGCACATTACAGCACTTAATGCCATTACTTTGTAACACCCACTTTTCACTTTTTAGTTTATGAATCCCATGTAATAGGGGGTGAGCCTATTGCTATATACCGGGCACAATTCCAGACTCCGTGCTACAACTAAGTTTTTTTTTAAACTCGGTAATCCTTTGCCAGACCCCTTGCCCCGGCAGTCACACTTACGACCACTCATGGTATGGTCACTTCACTGAAAAAAATGAACACCAACTAAGATGCATTTTCTCTTAGTTGGCATAAAAATGTTTAGAATAATTATTTATTTTGTTACTTTAAACAATTAAGCTTAGTTGCCAGAACAAATTCATTTTATTTAAGTCGACAATTTTGCACATGAACTCAGTATATTTAACTGACTTTGTTACATCACACATGCTTTGTTCGATTTTACTACTCCACTTTTATAAATCAAATAATAATTTTAGTTCACGATAACAAGCAACTTGTTAGCAATATATATAAAATATCGTAGGTTTTAACAACGAGCATAGTTGACTAGACAGCCTGCATAGTTAAATCAAACAAGAGAAGTGGTTGCATCTAATAACGCTTTGTTGTGTCAACAAAACGCAGCGGCCGGCCGCCCCGCCAAAAACTTGTCAAACTTGTCATTCTCAACTCATCATAATTCATTTGAACGCGTACCGACATGTACACAAAGCACCGCTAATTAGTTAGCGGCGCTACACATCGACACAACTATCATTTACACAATATACATGTGTGGGTAATTTCATATCAATAGATATGTATAGAAACATTCGTCTATCACACACATCTTGGTATTTAAAAATCATTTTTGTGTCGGTATACGCAATAATTTAGTAAATAAGTTTAAATAAAAACGAGGGTAAAGATAAAATTACTCATAACAAACTTTGAATAAATCGAAATCAAAAATAATGAACGATCGAGCTATACAATACCCATATAAATATAGTGCTTTCTCATTGTAATTTTATGTTACTGAATGATATAAAATATTTCGATGATCTCATCTACAGCGCGCTTGGCGCAATGGTTATCGCCTCCAATTGTCAAGTAAAGTGCCGCCGGATCGATTCCAACATTCACATGTTGTTTTAGAATTAATTTATCAAATATTTGAAATTTGAAATTAGAAACAATTAAATCTTTTCTTTTTTTTCCTTTCCTATTGTTCTAAATCTTATGTTAATTTTAATAGTAAATACTTTAGATTTATTTATACCTATAATATCTTTTATTTATATTTTAGTTCTAGTTATTTATTATTTAGAATAATCTCATTTGCTTCATGCATTTCAACCAACTTAAATAAGATAAAAACAGTAAAAAAGTAATTAACTGTGATTTCTTAATGGTTCGATACCTGAGTATATTTGCAATGTTTGTGGCGACCATAGAAATCTCGAGTCATTTTATTTTACACGCTTATGAAGTAACTACCGACTATTTAAAACATGTTTTTCAAATCACCCGACTTACAAAATAATTGCGTTCTTAGTTGTCAATTTATGAGGATTTCATAGTTTATTGCTACACTACTTATATTCGTGTGCAAAGTTATTTTTATTTTTACAAGATGTTCCAACACCTATCAACATTTAAAAAGGCTGAAACCATTGTTTTGCATGAGCAAAACATAACTAACAATAACTGAAATAGCAAGGCGTTTAATGATATCGGTGAGTAAATAAGATACTACGTTGATATTCTAAATAATATTTATTTCATTTTGTAACTCGACACACCTATCAATTTTTGCACTAGAATAAAATAATTATTGCAACTTATTATGAAGTTCAATATTATAAAGATATATTAATAATTTATTATTAATTGTATTGTAACTTGACTTGTTTTTGTTAGGAGTGTTTCTTTAAAACATATCTGGTTAGGGATTTTTATTCCTTACGCCACTACTTAATTATAAATTATTATTCTAACATTGTGTTTACTTATATTTATTATTATTTTTAAGTAACTTTAATTCCTGTAAAGTATTTCCTGGTATTTTAAATACTTATTTGTTTGGTATCAACAGAGGAGATCCATGCAGTTATGGGTGCACAGATATGCGGAGACCGGTGACGTTAAACATCGTCGACGTGGGCCTAAACCAAAGGCAAATTCATCGGCTCGGCACTACGACATCGTAGCCAGGCACATGGCTGATCCGTTCCTGCCAACCCGCACTACAGCGACAGCACTGAATGTTTTAATACAAACTGTACGGAGACACCTGCATTCTGGTTTAAGGTGCAGGAAGCCAGAGAAGAAAATATTGTTATCTGTGGTTCACCAGCAAAAGCGCTAAGAATTTGCTAAGGACTTTATTAATTTTGATTGGGCGAACAGTGTAATCATATTGAGCGACGAAAAGACTTTCAAGTCGGATAAGGATGGGCGTAAAATATTGTGAAGAAAAGATGGAGAAAGGTATACGAATTGCAACCTTCTGCCTTGTAGGATCAGTGATTGTATTGATTTCGGAATCAATTATTGAGCCTGTCAAACTCTGCCTTTATTAAAATTAACATAAAATAATGTTTAATTTTTTTAAGAATATTAAAATGCTGTCTAGAACATACGGTGAAGTGATGTTATTGTTTTGTGGTTAGAAATTGTCATAATTTCTTTCTATTCAACATGTTTATTCACTTCACTTTAATTTTTCATTAACAAATTTATTTAACTGCTTTCGAACTTGATTGACATATTATATTTACGCCCATCTTCAATTAATTTAAAGTTTCCCTGATTCTAAAGGTCATGAAAGTTAAAATCGTTCCATAGCATTCGTCACATTCTTTTTACTATCATACAGCCCACTGAATATTGAACCTTATAACAACCGTCGTAAAATAGATAATTAATGGAAGTTCAAACGACAAAAAGTCGCCCATTTCAAGAAATATTATGTTGACAGTGTAATTTTTTACATGTTTTACTTGTTTATTACTGTAAAACTGTAATTTAATAATACATTATATTATTAAATTACAAAACAAGAATGTTGTATATTTGTTTATTACCTACTTAATAAAAAATGTTGCTGCCATCGTATTACCGCTGTACCGCATGATATTTCCCGATTCGACTATGAGGTTTATTGTCATATCTATTAATTATGATTTAAAGAACTTTAAACTTAACATGTGGTATATAATTAATTATTAGATATAAATATTGAATATAAAACAACATATTTGTATAATAAATAAATTAATTGTAATAAAAAATAGTATTGTTTTATTTACCAACTCATTTGCTTCTTTTATAGCCTGATATTTATATTTTATGACAAAAAACAAAAAAAAAATAAGAAAAATAACAAGGTAAAATAAAATTAACTTTTAGCTGGAATAGAACCCACATCATTGATCCTTGAAAGACGATAAAAGCGTGCTCATTAACCAATCGACCACGAGCACTACGATAATGACAGTGAAAATGTCGGGTCATATCAATGATTGTAAATAGTTTTAACCTTACCTATGCATTAAATTATAAAAATACGTATACCGACACAAGAATGAAAATACCAATGTGAACGTGGTGGACGAATATTTTTATATACAGTTATATGAAATTACGCACACATGTACACTGTGTAAATGACAGTTGTGTCGATGTGTAGCGCTGCAACTAATTAGCGGTGCTTTGTGTACGTGTAGAGGAAGACTACCGTGAATTGCATTTGATTAACTAATTCTAGTGAGTGATAAGTATGGACGAAGTGGCAGAGTTATTAAAAACGTGGGAACTGTCCGATGTCATCCCAAAATTTGCAGGTAAGATAAATCTTGTAGTAACCTTTACCTAGTAGGTATCTACCTGCTAGATAGCTATTCTGTGATCTGTATTGGATGATAATATTGGTAAGTCTACGTAGGTAATTTGCTGACCACATCATTAATTTTGATCGCTGGCTTTCACAACGCAAAACGCGTCGCTGTCACCTACCGACTGGACTATACCTACTTTACTATTATACTCTACTATAGAGTAGGCAGGCACTTATCTATCTATTAGCAGGCGACAATGCGGTAAAACGTTGATATGTACCTTTGAAGAACATCATAAGTACCCCTGTAACGGTAATACTTAATTGTTTTAAAAGGATGACGAGCAGATTGTACCTACCGACGGATAAAGACTAAGTATACGTATGTCGTTAAAAAGTTCTTTTCATGACTATCATTTGTTATTATAGGGGCTAGTCTCAATTTGTGGTGGGTAAAATGTTATAGTCACTTATAGTCAATTAAATAATTCATAAACAAAGGAAAATGCAAACCAAATGTATGGAGTCTGGACTCACCCCTGTGATAGGTCTTCTTAAATGGAACAAAAGACGACATACATACATCTAGTCGTTATTAGTTTCCCATATATGTTTGCCTGTCATCCTTTATTAATTTCAATACTTAGTTCATAAAATATTTACATTGGTAATAATTTGTAGAGCAGGCGATCAATATTCAGGCCTTATCAGCATTGACCACTGATGATATCAAGGATATTATCCTTCAAACAGGGCTGAGGGTGCTGTTCATGAGGTGCTGGAGATCTTGGAAGGCTGAATTTTTATGCATCAATAGTTCTTTACCCGTAAGTATTAAATACCCATAGTTGCAAATAAATTATAATTATACATAAGTACATACTCATTATTGTAAGTATTAAACTCCATGAAACTATTTTGTATAGCTTCAAGGTATACATTCTTTTACCTTTGTTTTAATGTTAAATAATACTTACAATGATCACTTTTAAAAAATGTTTAGCATTTAACAACAAAACACTTCAATAAGATGCTTTATATTGTATTAATACCTATATAAGTAGATATTATGTTAGTTATTTCGTAGTTAGTTAATATTATGTAAGTAAATTACTTACTCCAGACTCTAGAAAATATTTTGTTTTACCCAGTGACTTACTGACCTTATTTTTGCTTGCAGAATCTAGATTTATCAGAATTGCAATTTGGACGGGACCCAGCTATTAACATTTCTCTTGCGGAAAAGAAAGAAAATGTGCCCACAAATAATATTGAAAATCACATAATTGTAAACGAAAATGTGCCCCCGAATAGTGGTGAAATTGAACAAGAAACGCAGAGTGGGGTATGTTTCTTTAAAACATTTATGTAAAGTCACTAAATTGTTTTCTTAAAAAAAAAATTAAGTGGAAAGAGTGACATTTAACAGTGTTTTTAAAAAGTTTTCAAAATAAATGTAGGTAAACCAAAACTACATAAATATTAAATGTTTACTAATTATGTAACTCATCAAATAGGAATACCTAAATAATCTATACTAACTTTTATCCTTTTGTTGGTCCTTTGGTGTTGATTTGTAAGTACTTCACTCTCTGGTACTTACATATCAACATAATAATAATATCCTCTTAATTTATTTTGAACCTTTTTAATAAACAGTAAAAATACTGTTTATTTCTCCAAACATACTAGATTCAAATAGTTATATTTCATATCATTTTTTTTTCAGTTACTTGAAAGTATATTACTAAAATCACTCATGATGATCAGACTTTGGAATCTATACAAATATTATAAAGAGGAAAGGTTTGATTTTTTGTTTGTTTGTTTGTTTGTATGAATTGAATAGGCTCCGAAACTACTTGGCAGATTTGAAAAATTCTTTCACTGTTGGAAAGCTACATCATTCCTGAGTGACATAGGCTATATTTCATTTTCAAAAAAAATAGGCATCCTTACTAAAATTACGATAACGTAATCCAAGGTGTGAAAAAAATATCAAAAAACTACCTTACATCGCGTGCGCTGCGAAAACTATTGATGATAGAACAAAATGATATACTACATTTTTTTAGAACACACCATTATCTACAAAAAATCAGCGGCAGCATATCTCTAACTTTTACAGTCATGTCACAATAAGCGTTTTTATATTGAAAAAAAGAAATTAAAATACCACCGCTACAAAAAGCTCTTTATTTGTACCTTGGTATTAACCCTTATCAAAATAAATGATGTATTATTTAAGACTGCTTCAATATCTTTATATTACTTTTTGAATTATTCGATTCTGACAATCCATTCAAAAGATATCACGAGTTAAAAAAAAATTAAAAATAAACTGTATTCGGCTAGCTATGCGTTGTAGGCGTCACTCGGGCAGGGGTACGGGAGGGGGGTTAAGATCACGAAAAACTACGTGATGGACGTGTGCGGAATTTACGCTTGATAATAATTCGTTTAGTAAGTAACTAAACCGATTTAAAAAGTTCTTTTCAGAACTAAACCCATTTATATAAAATATTGTTCACTTAGTTATTAACCTAATAAATTACTTGAATATTTTTCATGATTTTCAATTTAATTTTAATAAATAGTAGGTAGTCGTGTACGTTGTAATATAGTAGCATATATAGCTTACAGTTATGCTAATTTAGTTCAAAGGCATTTTTTCTTTTGTCATTTTGAAATGCCTAAAAGATCAAGATCTCAAAATACAAAAAAATCATTAAATAATATCTGAATTTAATTGATCTTATTTTTTTTATTTAGTCTTTTTTAGGAGCTCGACGCAAAAAGGGATGAATATGTGTCATATTATTATTATTATGAATGTGTTAAAATTAACAAATCTAAATGTAATGTTTAATGCCCGTGCGAAGCCGGGACGGGCCGCTAGTCATATATCAACGAGTACCTAGCACTAAGAAAACCGCTAGGTTATAGGTACTCTGGTAAGGTTTGCCATATAATTAAATATATGTAATTTAAGCTACATTTTGTAAATTTTATGTTAATAATTGTATTGTTGTTTCTGATTTTTAGTTGAACATTGACTTTGAGGCGGCCTATGGAGACCAAACAAAAAATTAATTTGTATATTTTCCCGTGGCAAAAATTAAAATCTTAGAGTTGTTAAGAAAGAGAAAATCAAAAGATAACATCACCCAGGAACTAATTTCTGTAGCTGACTGTAAGTATATTTTCTTTACTTATTTAGCCTATAAATTATACATCCCACCACTGGGCATTAACCTTCTTACATGGGTTTTGAGCCAGAAAACAGGCATATATCTCTATAAATGTGTTCTCCAGTATACAGGAGTGTACGTATACTATGTTAATTGCCACTAAAACCAAATAATAATTTTAAAATTCTACACCACACATAAGTTCGTAGAAACACATTGGTGTGAACCCTAGGTCTATTGAAATCCCTATCGAATACGACCCTCTGTTTGATAGGCGAAAGTTACGTGTTCTGCCAAACTACTGAAGCTATTTATCTATATTAAAGTCTCTCATAAAAAATGATTTGGAAAATGGATTATCTATATTTTATTTTTTATTTCAGCACCTAAAGTAGAAGATAAAAATCTTGCAGCATTTTTGGCAATTTCCCAACTTTTGAACACTACACCTATTAACCGGAAGAGGAAACAAAAACAATCTAGCTGTAGCTGGAAACCATCTAAGGTAGAAACGCGGGATGCTTTCATCAAACGTTTAAGATCTGACGCTGAAATCGGTCAGTCTATTGAACTTCGGCTAAAAATAAGTCTTAAGTAATAAGTTTTTTTTTATGTCATGTAGGAAATATTATTATATCATATTAATAAAATTCTAATAAAGTATGGTTGTGATACATAAGTAATTTGTGAAGTGGTTAATAAACTTTTAATAAAATATAGTTGTTTGATTGCTATACTATTTGTACCTATTTGCTAAGTTTAAGCCTTTGTACTAAACCGTTGTCATATGAACTACCTTTATTCGTTAATCCAAGTCGGTGTCTATTGCGCATCCACAAAGTACCTACCTAATTTATTGTAATGTTTATTATTTACAATAAATTACTTGTGGATGTACAACATACAGTGACTTGCATTGACGAATACTGGTAGTTCGTATGACAAAGGCTCATGTCTACGACGAATATGAGGTTAGTTGAAGTAATTAGTTTATCACGGTTACTTCAAGCAAGATCGTAGTTGAAACAACTTATGGATTTCATTGATTTTATAATGTCGCATAGACGTATCATACAACATCTTAGTTGAAACAACTTATGAACTTGATTGATTTTATAATTTCGCACAGACGTATCATGCAACATCTTAGTTGAAACAACCTATGAACTTGATTGATTTTATAATGTCGCACAGACGTATCATGCAACATCTTAGTTGAATCGACAAGTTAATATTGTTGGTGAGACAATGTCTCATTCTTAAACTAACCAACATTTGAGCTAAATTGAATAACTACCCGTAATTATGGCAATTCATTACTTAGTACATGGAACTATGATAATTTAACAAAGGTTTCATAGCTGCAGAAAGCAAGATCTTGGTAGGCTCATATGGAATCAAGATGCGTTATCAAATTAAACAAGATGTTTATTATAGCAAACAAATTTTTTTTTCAGTGTTGGGAATTATTCTTTATAGAAAATGATTATAATATTCTCTGATCTGTTAAGTACTGAACATTTATATCAGGTAACATCAACTGCCCGTGTCAGTCCTCTGCAGGAGTATAATGAACATTCTGTACACAAGAATATTTGCAATAATCTTCACACATCTCAGGTAGGAGATTGTAGTTTAAATGATTCAGGCTTATCAGAGAGTACTGCTGTATCTCTATCGAATGCTATACCCATGAGGAGAGTAAGTATGGCAATAACATGTACACTTCTTTGCCTTCACCGCATGGTTCGTGTATCATAATATACATGTCGGAGAAATAATACAGATTAGATTTTGAAATATGTATAATCAATGGACGATTTCTTGCTGTCAGTGGTCACACATGTCCAAGACGCATAATCTCAGCAACTGTGATTTAATGATGTTATGACGTTGTCATCATTACTTACAACTGCAACCAAAATGCAACAGATGGCGCTGTATCATATTCAGGCGTAATAGCAATCCTCCACATCTATATATATAAAAATGAAACCTGTTTCCCGTTGTCACGCCATAACTTGAGAACGGTTAGACCGATTTGGCTGATTTTTTTTTAGTTATGTTTGTTATAGTCAGGAGAAGGTTCTTATGACAGAAAAAAGTGCTGAAAATCCTACGGGAATGGGAGAAACGGGATTTCGCGTACGAAGTCGCGGGCAGAAGCTAGTTATAAATAAAATAAAAAAGCCTATCTTGCATACAACAAAATTGACAATGATAGGTATATATAACTAATAAATAAAAGGAAAATGTTTGCCTAACTATGTCTTAATTGCTCTAATTGCTACACTATAACTACCATTACATTATTTACACATTTACGTAATATATATATACAGAAGAATAATAAAGAAACATTACTCTTTTCCTTTAAAGTTACGCACGTTGCACGTACCTTATTACTTAACTCTGATAAACATCTGCACTGCATATCGCTTGGTAAGGTGTACTGAACAAGATTCTGATTACTTGGCAAACAATGCTTGATCTACGACTTTACCGTGTAATGCATATTGAGATTAATGCAATAAGGGTGTAAATACGATGTGAGAAGGAAACATCTGATTCTATTCAGTTAGACAATAAATACGTAAACAAAAAAGTAACAAATACGAATTATTTTCGAAAGAAAAACCATAATAAAGTACTTGGATAAAGTAAATTAAAGTTTAGTACTATTTCGTCACTTATGCATTACTTTACGTGCAGAATGTATCCACAAATGACGTCTCACGTCATACGACACTGATGGCGCCAAAATTTGACAATTCAAAATGGCTCCGAGCGCCATTAATGCACGCTACCATAGATAATTTAATAGTAAAACTCTTTGGCCGTGTTAGCGGAGGTGAAGTTTGATAGAAACAAGTAATTTTAAAACAATATTTTATACAGAAAAATGCAGGTTTTTACCGAAAAGTAGTTTTTAAGTGCCTGTTTTCTTCTTTTTATGCACTTACTTGTTCTGACCTGCGGTTTTAATTTCGTGTTCCATTTTTAAGTTACACTAGGTAAAATCGAGAACACCTTTCTTTCCAGTTACGTACATAATTATTTCTTGCAAAAATTAATACATTTAAATAAAAAAAAATAAGTACATTTTTGAAACCAAGTCATTGAATATTTTTTTTTTTACATTTGAGCGATAAGCTCCATACAATTATTCGTTGAATTCGATGAGTAAAATTTACAATGTAGATATGTTACCACAATATGCATTCTCAATTCTACCACGACAATAATAAAGTTCAAAATGTAATCAAGAAATTTGACTGTTTGAGTATACCTGTCTTAACATTATGCTGGCATCATACATACACATCGTGCTACTGAAAACCAGTATAAATTGACCGTTGAATGTGCGAATAGATCGTATAAACTGAGACCAGGATAAACTGGTTATATATAACTTGATGCATAGATGTAATATATACTGTAAATGTGTGTAAAAGGTAGACTGTAAGTAGTCTACCTATTATTTTAAAACAATAAATATATAAAAAAAAATATATCTACATATTGTTTACGGATACGCCGTACCGATAAGCCGGTAAACGAGCAGACGGATCACCTGGTGGAAAGCAATCGGCGCCGCCCATGGACACCCGAAACACCAGGAAAAGGAATTAGCGGACTGTGGGGGATT